GAATACATTAACAAAATTTATCCCAATTCCAGCTACTGTCACTTACTCTATTCCTACTGCCCTAATTCATTCCACCATGGTCTCTCATTTCCACTACTGTAGTAACCTTTTGACTGGTTTTCTGGAAGTCATTCTCAGATCTTTTATATTTTACCTCACAACAGCAGAATTGTTAAAATCCACTAATGGACTTCTCAGCCTTAGAACAGCATTTGAACTGTTATGTTTTTTAAGGCCCTGCTTAAGCTGAACCCTGCCTTCATCTCCAATCTTATTTCCTACTACTTAGAGTTGTTATCAAATTTAATGTGTCTAAGACTCTTGAGATGCTAACCACCATTTATTTGCCCGACCCCCATGGTGTTCTGATTATATGTCTGATACAGGGTTCAGAGTCTTCATATATAAAAAATCATCTCATGATTCTCATGCAGGTCATCTTGACACCACACTATTGACAGACAACAAATCAAGTAAATCTAGATAATTAGAGGACAGGAATGTATTCTCAAATTGTGGAAGCTTTTTGAATGCCTGCAGGAACTTTCCTCTCCTGCATACAAAGAAAAAGCTCCCTGGGTAAAACTGATATGGTCTCCCATCCAAGCATTACCAGCAAATAACTGATTCTTCTATTCCATAGAATTGTCATCTGTCTCTGCCTCCAGTTTCTTCAAAACCTAGCAGTAGACACTTTAGTGTACTTTAGATACCAGGCAGATAGGTGGGTAAGTTGGAATTTTGTCATAACATTATGGAATTTGACGCATACGTTCTTACTGGATGATCACTGCTAAGACTTTCCTTAGAAGACAGATTGACCCTTGAGTAAGCAAGAATGTTCAGCAAGACTGAAATTCTTTTATATTTGTGAGCAAATTACATTTTAAAGTAGAATATTTATCTTTGTATGTGGTGACTGTGATTTTTGTTTACATAGGGGTATTTTGGTTTGGTTATCTTAAAATTCTCTTTCAGCTCTGCAATTGAACAGTCATCTTAGGTGCCATTTTAAAAAATACTCCCAACCCTGATCAGTTCTGTGGTCAGTGGACAGGCATTGGTGATATTTATGTCTGAATTTTGCAGGAAGTAAATTTATTATGCACTAATTTCAAATTAATAATTTCTGCATTTCACAGTGAGCTGTAAAACTAATCATTTTAAAAGATTGAAGGTTGGGAAAAATAAAATGAAATAATGTCCTACATTAAGCAACATTTTCAACTCTTAATTGACTCCTCTTTTCAACTTTTTAAAAGTAAATTTTGATTTTGTATTGTATTTTCTTCTAAGTTCACAGATGTTGTATACACCTTCTCTGGAGTAAGCAAGTCAAATATACGTCTCATCTGAAGTGCATTAAATTATGATTTATTTAGCAGTTAAAATGGTTACTGACTACGGCAAATTACTATGCCTTTCAGGGTTTCAGGTTTCTCTTCTATAATTTGAAAATTATTTTAGACCAGAAGACAATAAACTATAGCCAGCTGGCCAAATCCCACCTGTTCTTATATAGCCCATGAGCTAAGAATTTTTAAAGGATTTGAAAAAAAAGAATATGAAACAATGACCCTTTGTGGTATACAAAACCTAAAATATTGACTATCTGGCCTTTTGATATTTGTGAAATAGTATTAAAGACTATAACTAGGTAAATAAGTTTTATGTTAGCAATTAGAATGTCTCATCCTTTAAAGTTAATTCATTTTAGCTTGGCAGAATAACTAATTAATGAAGTTGTATGTTATATCAGCTGTATTTTTATATGCAAAACAAGCTTCAAAAAATTTAAATTCACCATGTCAAATTTTGTTTTAGGAGATAATTAGCATATATATAAAAGTACCTTTGGAATTGAAACATCTAAATAACTTCTTTAAATAATTTTGTAATACTGAATGACAGGTGAGTATATATTATTTGTTCTATTACTAAAAATCACTATATTTTGTATTTTATTTCCTCCGATTTAGATAGAAGCAGATTTGGGATATCCTGGAGGAAAAGCAAGAATTATTCATAAGGAATCTGATATCATTACTGCCTTTGCTGTTAATAAAGTAAGTACATAGATACTTTTCTTTGGTTTGACTGTTAAGTATTTATAGTTGGAGAATATCTTCTGTTTTATCAGTTTATTCAGTATTAGTATTTCTCTTTCCCAAAACTGCTTCCAATTTCTTAAATTATAGTCTAATGGCCGGGCTCAGTAGCTCAGCTTGTATTCCTAGCTCTTTGGGAGGCCAAGGCTAGTGAGTGGATTGCCTGGCCCGTGAGTTAGAGACCAGCCCAGGCAACTTGGCAAGAGCTTGTCTCTACAATAAATAAAAATTAGCCGGGCATGATAGCGTGTGCCTGTATTTCTGGCTACTTGGAAGGCTGAGGTGGAAGGATCACTGGAGCCCAGCAGGTCGATGCTGGGATGGCCATGAGTGTGCCATGGTACTCCACCCTGGGCTACAGAGTGAGACTCCAACTCAAAAAAAAAACAACATTGCAGTCTAAATATTTTTTTGTTTTATAAAATGATTATATTATTTGATAATACTATTTTACTATATGATTTTGGACATATAACTGATAAGATACATATTTTATTCATAGAGAGGAGTATTTTATATAGAGAGAGAGATATATATATAACATATTATAGCAAATTATATTAAACCTCAGAAAAGGTTTTCTGTATTCCTTAGAAGTATATTGAATATGGTTCTTAATATTTAATAACATTTAAGCTTATGTATGACTCGTAAATTCTCCTTCTTTGATTTATACTTCTAATAGCTGCCCAACTAGTATATTTTCTTTGTATTTCTTAGACTTTTTAACATTTTCCTTAAAGATATCTATAAAATGCTCCCAAAGGTTAGGCTAGTGGCTCACAGCTGTAATCCCAGTACTTTGGATGACAAAGGCAGAAGGGTTGCTTAAGCTCAGGATGACATAGTAAGACCTCATTTCTACAAAAAGTTAAAAAAAAAAAAAGAAATTAGTTGAGTATGGTAGTACACACCTGAGAGGCTGACATAGGAAGATCACTTGAGCCCAGGAGTTTGAAACCATCCTGGGCAACAAAGCAAGCCTTCATCTTTACAGAAAGTAAAAAAAAAAAAAAAAAA